GATTGAATAATGATAATGAATCTATTTAATGAATCAAATAACTTTTTCAACTTATACATATATGTATTTTTTATCGCTGTACGAATGTACAGTATGAAATACTGCCATTTTTGAATGAATGTATTTTATATCAGTATCATTTAATCAGTGTAAATTTTTGACTTCTGAATTTGCAATTAGATTAAAATGTAATTAAGTTCTATGTGGATTGGAAATATACATGAAAGATATAGTACATAAAATATTTTTATTCTTTTTTTTAATCCTTTTGTCAATTTCTGACAAATTCAGTAATATAATATACAATATAGATAACATGTTTCTTGCATACATTGACTAGGATTTGGCGATACATTTATTCCTCTGTGGTAACAATTGTATATAAAAATACAATCTATTTCTTTTTTTTTTTCTTTTAAAAAAATCTGTAATTTATGTAAGTAAATAGATAGATTGTGATTGTGCGTCAAATTTTTAACATATATATAACAGATTTATATATGTACATGTAATATAATAAGTGGCATAATAATTTCATGTTTAACTACAAATGTAACTATAATAATCTTATGTTGCATATAATAATAAAATGCCACATCATATTTCAGTATAGTTCTTGTTGTAAAATCATAATTCTATGAAGACACAATTTGATTATATCTCATTGACACTTATGAGATATATGTGCACGCACACGTGCATATGTAAAAGGATATTTTTGTTCTCTACCATCCTAATTTATTGTCTTGTATTATCATTGCACAACATAGTATTGTTTATGGTGTATATATAAATTTATATAACAGAGGCAACTATCGAGGTAAGAATAATCATATATATCATAAAACGCTTCTACGTTTGTTTTTATATAGTTTTCTAATATGTCAAGGCTATAAATCGCTTTCATCTACATGTTTACTTAAAATACTTAATACCCTTCTGTTAGAAAATAGTACAACAGGCACACTTATTCCAATATTTTCTGGTCTGAAAATTGTGATATGCATAATATGTAGAAAATAAACAAGCACTGGAAATTTATTTTACCAGTCCTAAGTAAATATTTCCGTTGGTAGTTTTGTCATGCCACACTCATCTATTGGCAAGTAATATCCCATGTTCCCAAAACCAATCGCCAAATCAGTTCGACAAAAGTAAGTTTGTCAAAAATGAAAATAGATGAGTAAGGCACAAATACATGTAAATGTCATAAAACACTCACATAATAATATAAGTAATTCTCAATGTATGAATATTACATTTTCAACAAATAATGCTACTTTTCAGGAATAATACCTTCCCAGACATCTTCTCGCTGTTTATTGGCTAATCTACGTTTTTCTAAAAATAAAAAGAAAATATCTTGTTTCTATATTTTTATGAAATTTTTTGTATATTGTCAGAATATAATTAAATTTTCCAATATAATTAGTATCTTTACCTTTAGCTTCGCGTAATATGTTTTTTTCATGTTCGCGTTCTTGTCTAGCAGTGGCTAATTTCACTCCTAAAGCACCTGTAACTAATCGTCTTGCTAATGCCGCGCAAGTTTCTGGGCGACTTCTATAGGGTTGTAAAAATTCTGCGCTTCTTTTTGCTTTTGTTTTGCTTAAAGCCGTAGCTTCACTTAGGGGTCTTGTTTTAACAAATGGATGATCCGATGCCAATACTTCGGCAGCTAAAAACAATTTGATGAGTAAGCACTTGTTAGTCATATGTTGATGTAATTTTAACTCGTTTCTAATTACCAACAAGAGGACTACTGAAGACTCCAAGACAATGCGTATCATCAACCCATTTTAATTCAAAACCACCATTTTTAAAAGGACTAAAAACAGCTGCTAAATCGCTCGTTTTAAATTCTGATGGAAAATTATAAATTTCAACCACATGAGCAAATTCATCACTAGATACTTCAATGTGTTTGGTGTAGGGTTTATAATCGTTCTTCGGTTGTTCTATCATAACATTACCAACAGCTGACGTTAGCTAAAAATAAAAATAATTCAAATAAAAATAATTTTATTTTCTAAATTGAAAAATGATAATATTTATAAATATTTACCTCTTCTATGAGAGTTGGATCTAAACAGTCACCATTATCATCAAATAAACTATCCCAATCACATTCATCTCTATTAATTTTTTTAATAGGTGGAGAAGGTGGTGGTGCAGGTTTACTCTTTTGTCGTACAATTTTTTTTACTTTTTTCTCCGGTAATACTATAGGAATAACTTCTTTAACAGCTTGTGATTCCTTTTGTACAGTATCTGAGATAATTAACACGTTTGACACCATATTGTGCATCATTTGCGTATTTTTTTGATTCGTTATTTCATCTTTATTCGAAAATTCCATATTTTTTTTATTATTTGCAGTTGAATTAGTCATAATAATATTATCTTTACATTTATCAGATGTGTTTATTTCTTCATTAACATTAACTTCACTATATATACATGTTTCAACTGAATCTAAACTACTCTTATTCTCACTAAAATTAGATATTTCTTGTCCTTCAATCGTTTGTAAGTGAACTGTATCAGTTATTTCATATGAAGTTTCAAGAACTTCAAAAGCATTACAATTATTTGAATCATTTGGCACATTTTTATTTAAATTTTCTAACTGCTCGATTGGTTCTTTATTATTACTTTTCATTGTAGGTATTTTTGAAGAAGTTATTCCTTTTATCTCTGTTTGAAGACACATATTGAGGTGAAATTCCGTATTATTTTGATCATCATCAAAAGTATTTTCTTTTTCTATATATTCTTTATTTTCTTGTACATCAGAGCTTGCTTCTTTAATATTTAAATTCGATTTTCCATGAGGAGCAGAAAATAAAGATGAATTGTCTTTAATTATACGATTTACACGAATAGATTCTAATGGTTGAGGACTTCCTTCTGTTTCTAAACTTCTACGATGTCTTGGTATATAAACTGCACGATCTGGTCTTCTTTGACGAGAAGTTCTTGATGAAATTAAATTTTTTAAATATACATTAAAATAATTTTTCTTTAGATTATGAAAAAAAAGATGCAAATATTTTTCTATAATTTCTTACTTTCCAATAGATGAATCTACAGTTGCTTGTGTTTGAACTTGGTCCATATTTGTTTGAAGTTCATTTCTAGCCCTCCTAACAGCTGGTGGTCTATAAATTTCAACTGTTGGCGTTGATTTCACTAAAAAATCGAATGAAGATTTCAATTAATTTTATTTTATATTTTTAGATAATAAAACTTTTGTTTTATTTTCCAATTACCTTGTCTTTGAATTCGTATCCGTTCAGGAGATGCGGAAGGTGATCGCTGACCTTCAATACCCATCTCGAGCAACGTACTAATACTTTTTGTTGCACAATTCGATGTACACTGTTCACCATCCAATTTGGGATCCCTTAAATATTGAAAATGAAAAAATTACACTTTTATTAACTTTATAAAATTTTTTCTCATATCAGTTAAATAGATTTTTGACGCATTTAAATACTACGCTAAGTGACCTTGAGTCGGCCAGTTTCACTTTCGTTTGTTGCTGCGTAATTCCATTCTTATAAACCCATTTCGTAACAATATTAGACTTGTCTGTGAATTTCGCATAAATCTGATTTAATATAGGGCTTGTTTTACTTTCATAGGAACCGCAATGGCAATATTAATATCAATAATATGATCGACAATATATGCAAAATATTTTAAAAACTAAAATTTTTAAATTAAAAAAAATTTTGAATTTGTACATTAATCTGATATTTTATCAATTATATAAATCATAATAATTTCGTAAAAAATTAGAAAAGAATCTATTTTTCGTTTTTTAATGAATTTAATAAATAAATTCATTAATTTTATAATTAATCATAGTTTAAATTTCAAAAATATATAATAAGAATTCCTTAATAAATACTTATTTTACAATTAAATATAATTTATTCTATCTTTTTTCAAATCTCAGAATTATCATTGTTATCAATATATATACAAATTATCCACAAATTATGGATAAAGAGGATATTAATAATTATCCGTTAAATGGGAAATAATGAAAATCAATATCATCAAGTTATTCAACTCATAATTAAATTATGAAATTAATAGACACTCTGATACCTTATCACGTCACTCTTATAACAAACTACTGTTCGCCTAGCAGAACCCTGGCCGATTGAGAACGTGTGTAGATCAACAAAACGGTCCCGCACTAATTGATGTATGATGTATCTTCGATAGTTATTAACAGGTGGAAAGACGAGTACCCTGTAAAAGTGAAAAGAACACGTTATGATCGCAACTGAAAGTGAGACTGGACTGAGGACGGTCAACGGGTGAACGTAATCGTCTTGTCCCGGGCTACTTTGCCGTATATCCTGTCAGATGAACACATACCGGCTAACTTTTACATAACGTTTCACTTTCTCCTTCCTTGGTTTCCTTAAAATTAAAGCCTTCCTTACGTCCGAATAATCACAAATCATTTCGATCACATTTCGTTCATATTATGATCTCGTTAACATTTTAACTACACTTCATGAAAACCAGTTATATTCGAGCAATATAAAACAGTCGGATAAAGTGGAATTTATTATAATATTGTAAGCGGATGTTTTTAGAAAGCATAAAAATTATTACAATACTATTACAAAGCGGGCGTACACAATGCAGAAAAATAGGAAACAGGAAACGCATTTTTATCTCAGATTATAAATAAAATGATCGAACAATGAGGATACTAGAGAAGATAAATTTTCACCTTAACAGCATTCCATGATAGTTAAATTACATGCCAACCATTTAGATGGAACGAAGCGTGTAGTATGGTAAATTATGGTTTTCTATGATTCTTTCCTTTGTATACGTATATGAAAACCAAGAAGAAAAAGAAATTGAATACACAAATTCTAACCGTTCAAATAAAATAATCGCACTTTTTAATCTTGTGATTCGATTGTTGAATCGTCAGTTTGTATAATATTAATTACGTTTTAAAATGGAGTAAATTAACAAGCCTTGTACTACAAAGAAAAAATGGAGTGTTGTATATCTCGTAAGTATTGCGTGGTTCACGTAATCACGCGTATACGTGAGCGACATACGCTCAGAGACCGGTTACACTCCATAGATTAACAATTATCCGTGCAGAGGGCATTCAAAATCATTCAGCTGTTTCTCTTGCACATGATTTCAGTAATTATACAATACGGCATATAATCATGCTTTTGTTTTTATTGTTATTATTTTTAAATAATTTTTAAAATTTTTAATTTTTAAATAAAATCTTATCATTTTTTATAAATAAAAATATATTTAAATTTTGTTATCACCTATTTTTGAAATTTTACATGTTTATTAACTATTTCTAAAATAGTTAAAACTATATATTGAATGATAAAAAAATTGCATATATTACAATTCTTATACATTATACTATAATATATACATATTGTTTGCAGCAATTTTTAATTTTATATAATCATTTTCGTTATTTTCGTTGTAGTCGATGAAAATAATACGTTCCATTAAACTTAGTATTTCGTATAAATTTTCTTTTATTATTTAATGACGTATATACGCTAGTTCCGTCATTTATGAAGGGTTATTTAATCAATATCCGCAACTTAAAATCCCATTATCTTCTTACTATAACGTTCCGAATAAAATATAAAGACAAAATATATATCTATAATCGAAAATCAACATAAAAAAATTTAAAAATAAGTGAAAAAAACTAATAATATTTGTAAATGCATTTTTATTTACATTGAATAATGATTTCTCGTTTTTTATGTTTGTTATATAGTATTATATATTATATAGTATACTAGTATCTGGCAAAAAAAGCGTAAATATTCGAAATTTACAGGATATACAAAAAAAAAACAGATTAAGGAAATCATTTCAAAATGCATGTAATAGTGATCAAGATTTGGAAGAAATAATATCATTTATCTTTAAATCGTAATATTTATATATTTTGTTTGAGAATTTAAAAAATATTAGTAAATTATTGAAAACTTTTTAGCAGATGTATCTTAAATCTTTGAAATTCTAAAATCTTAATTTTAATTACAAAAATGCAAATAAATTGAACATAATCAGATCTAACTATGTAACATTTATGAAAATTATTAAAAAAATTTATCGATTATTAAATTAATGCTATTTATGACGTATCTTATCTTATTTTTTTTTTGTGATTGACAAATGTCAACTAATTTTATAATGTATCTTTTAAACTTTTAAGATCAATAATTTCATGGAGAAAACATTATAATATACTATGATAAAAGTTTATAGAAAATGAAAGTCAAGAATAAATACTCGAAGACACATTATAAAAAATGTAGACATCTAACCTTTAAAGGCGCGTCGTTACATCAGGAAATGTGATCGTTTGGCTTGCCTACCTTTTTCGTTTCTTGTCTTTTGAAAATAGAGTCACGTCGTGCTCCACGTCCTCGGAGAAGAGGCTATCTTGTAAGCTCATTTATCTTCGAAACTGCACGTAGTTCAGACATATGAGAAATTATTGATACTTATAATCAAATTCATCAAAATTTATTCAACAAAACCACGTTTACCGTGCTGCTGAACAGCAGCAACGGTCTCTACTCGACGCACATTGACCATAAACTACTTGAGAATACGTCGCGCATGCGTTGATTTACTTTAGCCTGTTCAGTTACTGCGCATGCGTGCTACTTTAAATTGAGTAGTCGTTCACATGAAATTTTGGCCACCGGTATTTTTTATGATCCTTTCTATGTGCTATATTTGAAAAATTAATGTAAATTTTAATATATTAATTAATATATTTATTATTGTTTTATGAAATAATATTATATAATAATTTTCATAGTTTTTTTTTGCTTCTAAATATAAAATATGTTATATATTATCAATCAAAGAAGTTAAAAATTTCACACTTTCCCAGAAATATGCCATGAATCTATAATATATTGATTTCTTTTTTATGTTTTATACCAATAAGTATAATTTTTTTTTGCAATTCAAAAATATGCAGCAAGATCATTATTCAATTGATAATTTTTCATAGCATTAATTTTATTCAGTCTTTATCTAAGAGTTGTGATTAATTCAATGACTATTTTATTGGATTTTCAAGAAGAAAATTTACCAATCAAATACACTTTGAAAATCACAAATATTCTATTTTATGTATAGCTAATAAGAATAACGTGATATATGGATATTTATAATCATCAAGATTTCCCAGGTAGAGGCTTGAGATAAAAATGATTATTTGAAATTCTCTAATAATGCTTTAGAAAAATCTAATTTTTGAATATCAAAAAAAAATAAAAATTCTAAACTAAAAATCTATTCTAAATCATAAATACTTATTTCTGATAATATTCTAAATTCTAATTTTAATATTCTAATATTATTGTATTATTTTTAGCTTAGAATTAGCAATAATTGTATAATAAAATTAATTTTACAAGTTTCATTAACGAAACGAAACTTAAATTAATTAAATTATTAATATTAATAATTTGTCATTATTTTATGTATAATTGAGTTCAAAAAATTCATTATATATTTCTCATTGATTGAAATATTTGAAAAATATTTACAAAGTTTCAATTTATTTTTTATAAGATGATATTTGGGATTCTATTAATCAATTCAATTAATACTGTACAAAACATATTTATTTAATAATTTATGGAAATACACACATAGTGTACAACATACAAGCCCTAGCATTCATAAAATGCTGCTACATTGTAAAGGTGAATTCACTTCACTTTTTCTTCTAGAATATTTACATATAATCACGTTTTTTCGCTTTACATTTTTTTGTCGAAACAAGTTCATGTAACTACAAGCGATAAATCCCGATCGTTTCGCTCAACGCGTCGTTGTCTTTATCAAATTCATCGAGAAAATATGTTATATCTGATAAAATTTTTTTGTATCCCGGCATTGAGAGAAACTCGAGATCGAATTAGAATGTGTACAGCGCATAAACATACAAAGTTAAAGGGATCCAAATCTTTCTTAACCGGATCCAGCTTCTTTTCTTTTTTTTTTTTCCATTTTCTTTTTTCTCTAATACAAAGCTGCGTCTACACGCAATATTATCGGAATTCTGTCAAAAATATTCTATATACAATTAGAATATGTATAAAAAGAAATTCACATCTTAAAATTACAAGAAGAAGAGCAATCTTTTTGTTGCTGTGCAAAAAAGCAACAAATTCTTATCTATGAGACACCAATTGGCATTTTTGTATCTTCAAACTAAAAATTTATAGAGAATTGATACAAAAATGCACAAGGTGATTATATCATAGTTATTATATTTATAACTAAATATTTAGAATTATATTTAGCGATAATGTGAGCAAACAAAATTTGTTTTCCCATTATTTCACTATCGCTATGATTTCTTGGTCTATTTATATTTATGCATTATATAAATGTAGAAAGTAATTCATAATAAACATTAAAAAGATGAGTTAATGTAACTCAATGAAAGATAATACATAAATGATTTCGAATGCTAAGGAAACAAAGAGATGATCATGTTTGTAAAATAATGGAATTGTTATCATTAAAAAATGTATTAATGATTATCGGTAATCTAATTCATTCTTTCTACTACATAATAGAAAGATATCAAAAATCTATAAAGCAACTTCTCTTTTATTTTTAAGCAAGAAATTATTTTTAAAATTTAATGTTTTTGCTATGCCAAAATGAAATAAGTACTATGACGGGCAATACACGGATAGAACAAGAAAACATTCAAAGTAGGTACAAGATTCTTTGTGATTCTTATCGCGAATCGAACATACAAATATTAATCTTAAATATCTATTCGTGGTCTATATTGTAGCCTTAAAGGTGGGTCCCGGAACCTCCATCTTGTTACATAAACGAATTTTAATGTATGGTCCTTACCTAATAGTTCATCATTACATAAAATATCAATCTACAAAAATTTAATTAATATTACTAATTATTAATACTATTAATTAGTATTACTAATTAATATTACTATTAATTAATCAATCAATAATCTTAATTCCAATATAAATTTTCTTTTTACTTACATCTCGATATTTTTCCATTCCATTTAACACTTTCTTGGCAATAAACTTTTTTAAATGCGTAATAGTTGCTTGGGCAGAACATCTGATAAATCTTCGTTTCAAAGTCTTTAAACTTGTATTTATGCATTCCAAGCATACATTAACCTGTAAAAATATTAGTTTTTTAGTATTATGATCAAATCAAATCATATAATAGTGTTAATCATCTTCTTACCTGTTCATCAGTACGATGATAATCTGATTCTGCATGTGCATCTGCTGTTGCCTTTTCTTCTTCAACATCTCCAGCATTTGGTAATATATCTTTTGGGCAAGGTAAACCTCTTGCTCTATAAAATTCTCTTTCTCTTTTAATTTCATCTAAAAAAAAAAATTAAATCAAATATATTGTTAATTATGTATGATTTTTTTTTCATTAATAAACAAATGCTAACTTTCTTGAAGATCAGGAACTAATTTATAGACAATATCTTGCATAGTTCTGTCAAAGCTTATATATTGGAGAGGATGAGATTGATGTATGACAATTTGACATGTTGGACAGGTATGCTTTTCTTCTAAATGTTTCACTAGACAACTTTTACAAAATGTATGTAAACATTCCGTAACAGTAGTAGCATCTATCAAATAACCTTTGCATATCTTGCATGTTATGTGACTGTTCAGTGTTTTTAATTTAATTCTCCTCTCCATGGCACTGGTAATCACCATTTAATAAATATTACTATCTGCGACACCATACAAGTGCCATCAAATTCTGATGTTGTCAAATTGTTCCAAACTTGTAATTATAACTAAAATCATATACAATAAATTACAATACTTTTATTTTGTAAAAAAGAAAAGAAAATTATACAGAATAATAAACATAATACTATTATATATAAAAGTTAGAATTATAGAAAATATAAAATTCTTATAATATATAAATCCCATAAAATTTGTTATCAAATTTGACACATAGTTTGATTTATTTAAAATTTGTTAGAGAACAAAACGAAATTCTTTAAAAAATGACCAATACAAAAAAGTAAATTCTTTGCTTCGAAAAAAGTGGGTTATCAAATTCTAACCTGAATGTCGAGTGTTAACACACAACAGCAATTTTCACTCGTATTATTCGTTAAGAAGTTTTGTGTGTATGGTCCATATAATTCTTAGCATTTTTTTATCGTTCGAATCGAAGTGAAATGGAGGAATACAAAATTAAACGTTTTACTAAAAACTTGATAAAAACAACTAAGTGTAAATGTGGCTGATGACAACAAAACGAACTGATTTCAGCGCCACCATGTGTCTTATATTCAACTTTTCTCTGGACACGCGGTTCCGATCTATGGTGGGGATTCCATTATACATATTTTTTTGATTAATCATAATTTGTTTATTCATTTAACTGTTGACGTGTATATATCTATTTTATATGTGTGTAATTCAATCGATTTCAATCTATTTTACAATTTGATAATTACAGTTTGATAAATAACCATAAATACTGATAAACGAAAAATAATAAATATATAATAAACGGAAATCTAGGTAATTTTATTCATATAAAATATATAAAAATTCGTAGAGCATAAAAATTGGTTTTTAATAGATTAATAAATCAATTGAATTAATAATAATAAAATTCGTATGCATTTATAACAATTTTTTAAAAAATTTTTTAAAAATATAATTAAAAATATAAAATAAATCAATTTTTAATCGTATATTTAACAATAATATAATCAATAATTGTTTCAATTAAATAAAAATATTTTAGAAATAATTGTATCATTTCAGAATAATGATTTTTAAAATTATTTATCTCAATATTTTTTTTTTTTGATATTCCAATATTATAGCTCTGAAACAAAAAAATCGTGAAAATAAAAAGGAAATTTCGAAATAATAAATAATAGACATCGATTAATGTGATATAGTTATCAGTGATTTATTCGAGACGAAACTCATGTTACAATAATATTTACGCAGACTATACATATAATCTATCTTGGTAAATGCTGATTTACTGGCTACCTTTAGGTGCTGGAGAAAAAAAAATATATATATAAAAGAAAGAAAACATGAGAAAACATTTTTAAATAAAAGGATCGGTGCTATATACAAAGAGTCTTCTGTCACGCTTACATATTTTATTTTCATTGATCATACTGATTAATTCTTTCTATATTTTACATGTACATTATATCTCACTTCGCTCGTTCAATGATGATACAAAAAAAAAAGTATTAACGACATTCTAAAATACATCCTAAGTAACAATATACAAAGAAATAAATTATCTACTACTAAGCACCTCTCGTATGCACCATTTATACATCTCAATTTGCATTTTACATCCACATGGATGATGCAATAAATTCTCTTCCATTTTCTTTTCCTTTTTTTCTTTTTATTTGTCATATGCAAAGTTTCTTTCGCCGTAATACAAAATTATACAATATCTTTGTTTAAATCGAACGATTCTTTGCATTCTTCTCTGTTTGACGAAGACACTATTGTCAGGATTTCAATAAATTAACAATGATATATCATTATTAACGTTAATATTTGTGTTAAAAATTTATTAAAAATACTAACGAATCGTGCCATTCGTCTCTTCACTATGATCTACAAAATAGCTTTTTCTTTCTACAAAAATTAGAAGATATGTTCTTGTTATCCACTAATATTTGTTCACATGTATAAACGCTAGCATAATACATATTTTAATGAGTTCGAGCTATGTTACAGAGAAACATACAGGTTTTTTTTATTAATTGACTAGTTACAAACACGTTTCGAGACAATTTTATAACAATATCTCTTCCATGCAAACTTGATATGCACCATTCGTCATTTCTTTACGTATTAACAAAGAATAACAAGCCTTGGTAGAATTTTTTCCTCTTCATTTTTTTTTCTCGCATATTTTTCTTTTACCAAGGCACTTATCAATGGCACTGTAGTATTAACATGTACAAAATTGGACGTAAACATTTGTATATAAACTTTATTATATTTTGCTTTGGCTGCAAACATAGTTCAGGTGTGCACCAAAGTCTTTAAGCTGTTACTAATGCTAATTCTTTTTAAAATCTGTAGCTGATTGCCGTTAGTAGATATTATCTTATATTAAATTCTACAATTGACTATCGTATTCTATGTCGTTATATTTACAAAAATTTACGTATATTTTATAATTACTATAAAAATTAGATTCAAGTTCTGAATCTAATCTAAAAATAAAAATAATCAGGAATCATTAGTTAAAAATCGATTTTTAAATCGATAGTTAAATTCCAATAGTTATTTAATTGCATTCATCAGATTTAATATCTTTTTAAAGTTTTAAATAATTAATAATAATGTGATTATAAATATAATATTTTAAGGCAATTATCCATTTTCATCTTTCAATGTCATAATTCTACAACATTCAGCTATAGATTTTTTAAAATTGTACATCTTCTGACGAGACTTGCCTCTGATTCAACATAGTTTCGTCTTTTTCAACATGAAAAAATTATTATAATTATAATTTTCTTTTTATATTAAAAGATATTTCACTATTTTCAAATATGCTATCGATGTAATATAGAGTAGATACGATATCTAGATCACATGAGTCACGTGACGAGGCAAATCTTACTATGTAGAAGCTTAAGACTAAGATTACAGTGAACGAAGATAAATAAAAGATCACAATTGCTTGATCGAATGATATTCATACGAATTTTTATTCACTGTAATCATATTATGATACGAATTCATTTGAGAATAAAATTTTCAAAAGTTATTTTACTATTTTTATTTTAAGAATTAATCTAATATTTTTTTAAATATTTTTTGTATATATTGACATTGATTTTTCAAGAATAACTTCTACTTTCAATATATCATTCAATAATAAAAAACAAATCTCGAGAATAATTTTTGAAAGTTTTAATTTCAAATGGATTTGCAAGATTAAAGTACAAATTCATTTAAAAATAAAAATCTCTCAAAGTTGCTCTAATATTTTTATATTCTATTATATATTTTATTTTAAGAATTGTTCTAATATTTTTTATATATATTTAATTTTCTCATTTTTAACAAATATTTATTAGGATAATTCTCGGAAGTTTATTTACTAGGATAACTTTTGAAAATTTTATTCTCAAATCGAGTTTTACATGCTTAGGATTCACGTTAGAATTGTGAAAAGTTGATATGATTCTGTTCACTATTTGAACTATGAAATCTGATAAACATATACGAGAATCACGTGGAACAAACGCATGTTCTATTTAATATAATAATCGATTTTGCAAGGCATAAAGATAACAGGAAAATAAATACAATATTTTCCGTAAGAAAAATCAGTCTCCTCGAAGGCCGGAGTTTTCTTCCTTGATCGATATCTTCCTTTTTTCTTTCTTCTTCTTTTTCTTTTTCCTTAATTCTACGAAATACGCTAAACAAGTCAATACTGATTTATATTATTTGGCGTGTTCGCTAGGTCAGTCGAATAATTTTCATTCACCAGCGTCCTTCAAAAAACTTTAAGGCTAGTCTTCTTTTTTCGTGGATTTTCGTTCGTTTTCTTTGTTACTCTTATTCTTCTTCCTTTCTTCGTGCTTCTATTTATTTCGCTTCATCGTTCGTTGTATCTTCTGAATCTTTCTTTTTTCTTCTCATGAGAATTGTACAGATTCTTCGGCTAAAACCGATCGTTCGTAGGATTTTCATAGTAAGTAGCGGAACTTTTCTTCACTTTCGTCGTCGTCGGCTTCACTCGATTCTTGACTGGACGGCGGTGTGTCTAGTTGTGGAAGGCCAAGATCCAAATATTCCTAAAATAACAATGATTTGTTTTTAAATTTGAGTTTATTTTAAATATTATTGAATCGTATCTAACATTTAGAAAATTCGAATTTTTTTCAAGAAAAAAGTAGAAATAAAAAAGAAAAAATTCAATAATATAACAATTTAAAAAAGAATTTTTTATCAAAGAGTCTTTTATCTTTTTTACAATTAATATTTCTTACCTCATTTGCAGTTATTGTCAATATCCTATCGAGATCCTCGACCAATTCTCCAAACATTGGTCGTTCGTTGGGCTGGTAACTCCAACAATCCCTCATTAACATGTATCTATAATAATATAATAAGTTAATATTTTCATTCTAATAATTTTTTTATTATAATAATTTTATTATAATATTTTTTAATAAACAAATAATATAAACATTTGGAAAGATATAATAAATTCTGAATTGTGCTTACATTTCGATAGAACAACATGGTGGTTTCTCCATTCGATGACCAGTTCTTAATAATTGGAATAATTTTTCTACTGATGGTACGGATGGATAGGGAGTACCACCTAATGTCATGATCTCCCACAATAAAATTCCATACGACCATCTAAAATATTGTAACAATTTTCTTAAAATATTTATATTTTAAAAAAGATAAATAATTTTCTTAAAACAATATAAATATATCTAATTATATAACTAAATATTTTAGAAAAAATAAATAATTCCACTATTTTATAAGAATTTGAGATTTTTTTTCTTCGAAATATCAATAATAAAATATATAGACATTGTGAAAAATACTCAATATTCAGATGGAATATTTTTTATTTATTCATACAATAAATTATTTTTCATTTTGTGGAAAATAAAATTTAAGACGTGTAATAATTCCTACGACATTTGAGTTAGTCAATATATTGATAATATATCCAATATATTTTTAAATCATTTAAAAATACTTAATATTTTTTTACATTTTTCGAGAATTTATATATATTAATAATTTTATTATCCTTAAATAATATTATCTTGTTTTTTAATAAATCAAATAATATATAACATTTATTTGTAATATTCTTTAGAAGTAATTGCATTTATATCATCATAAAATATGAATATCTAAACTTTACGTTTATTGCTATAATTTGTTTAATCTATAGAATATTAATATATTTGAAATATTATGGAATAAAAATTTGAAAAACTAATTCAACAAGCCAAAATAAACACAAAAATATTATTTAGTCTTATTAATTATAATATTTAAAAAAATCTGTTAAAATTATTGAAGTTTGCATTAAATAAAGTGAAATAATAAAGCAATATGATAAAGATAATATAAGTTTAATTTCACTATACATTTCAAACAATAATATTGTAACATTTCACAATAAGATAGAATATTTTATGAAATAGAATACGATTCTCATAAAATAAATTCATCATAACTGATGTATGATCTATATGAAATTGTTTATCAAAAATTGATAGAATTTTTTCATTAATTCAATAATCGAATAATACGATATACTTACACATCAGATTGAGTGGTATAGACCCGATGGAACAGAGCCTCAGGTGCCATCCATTTAACCGGAAGTCTTCCGTCTGTGGTTTTCCTATAGTAATCGTGACAATGAATATCCCTTGCCAGACCGAAGTCAGCGATCTTCAACACGTATTCGTCGCTGACTAACACATTTCTGGCAGCTAAATCCCTATGGATGCACCTCCTGCTCGCTAGATATTCCATCCCTCTAGCTACCTGATAGGCAAATGACACGAGATCCTTTTGCGTGAGAGTCTTCTTCTCTTTCGGTTCTTGACCAATCGTTGGTTCGTATCCCGAGGAAGGTCTATGGTCCCGTAGAAAATCACGGAGGTTTCCATGTGGGGCGAATTCTACGACCACATACAATGGTCCCCCTTGCGTACAAGCGCCTAATAGATTGATTATATTTACATGTTTGCCGATCATCTTCATCATCTCCATCTCGGATACCAAATCCATCATTTCCGCGTCAGTATGTCCTTCTATGGAAGAATTGGTGATTGGATTAATATAGATTTTGATTCTTGGCTTAATTTTAAGTTTGGATAAATGATATTGACTGGTACAAAATATAATTTTCATAACAGAGATTATGATTTTTATATAATTCGAAGTTTAGAATATATAAAAATTTGATATTATTATAAATATATGTTAGAAAATATTTGAAATTTATTTTTTAAATAATTTTTTATTGATAGTATATTTGAAATTAAGTTTCAAAAGTTTATATTTACAATATTTATATTTGTGTACATGGAGTATAATTTTAAGTACATGAGAATATTGACTTTTTTTTAGAGAATAAAAATTAAAAATTAAAAAAAAAAAAAAATTTTACCTTTCAACATCTTTACAGCAACAACACAAGGTATTCCAGGTTTTCCAGTGTTGGTTTGTGCCCTAACCACTTTTCCAAAAGCACCTTCGCCCAAAGTATTACCCAAAGTCAAATGTTCTCTGGGCAATTCCCAAGCGCTATCCACCGGAAGTTCGTACTCTGATATACTTCCTCCATTACTATCCTCTGCGGCTACCGTCGATTTTTGTTTCTCAATCTTTACCACTGGCATCAATAATGGTTCTTGAACATTTTGGGCGTTCACCAAATTTTGTTTTTCCACAATCACTTTCTTTGTCCATTGTGTCACGACCGCGGCACGTGCCGTTTCTATGGCCAACAATTTCTTCATCTTCTCGCGTTTCAAACGGTGGAAAATATATATGACGACTACTACGCCCACGGCGAAGAAAATGAAGAGAACTGCGGCCAGAACGTTTACCAGAATTTGTGGTTTCGCTGTTATTGGTATTCCAGGATCTTCCAAGGCTGATGAAGAATGAAGAAATATTTAAATCAAATATGAATGATAAGATAATTTAATGAAATATAAATGATATACTAATATCAAATATTAAATATAGATAATATATAATATTTAAGATGATATAATTAAAAATAATACAATATAATGATATAATGATTTATTAAAAAATGATATAATATAAATATAAATACAATATTACTATTAATCAATTATAATGATTGAATATCATTATAATTATTTAATATTGATCATTAATATTTAATTATTGTTTACAATATGATACATATGACACAATGATATAATGGTTGATTAATATGCAATATAATTAATATGTTATAATTAGTATGATATAAATGATATAATGTATGATATGATAATTAAAGTAAGCATAAATATAATATGATTTGAAGTTTTTGATACTTACATTCTACTATTCGAAGATAAGCGCTGCTAAATGTTTCTCCCAATGCATTTTGCGCTATGCAAGTGTACCAGCCTTCATCTTTTTCTGTTACATTATACAATTTCAGTACTTCCGGATTTTCTGCGCCTTCAGCCTATTCAAAAATGCTTAAATTAATTTATTTATTAATTAAGAATAATTCAGAAAATTGAGAAATCAAAATAAGTTTTAAGTAGTGATTATTTAAGAGAAAAAGCTTTAGTCGATTTATTAATAATTTATTATTAATCTCTTCAGAGACTCTAATACAATCTGAATCTTTTAATAATAATAAAAACAAAATATAATAAATAATAATAAAAAACTGATAGTTATTTTACAATTATTGCTTTATAAATATTTTGATGTCTTATATAGTATCTTTGAACTTGAAGATTAATTAAGTCGAAACTTGTTTCTTTGAAACTTTAATTTAAAAATTTGAGATTTCTTCTTTTTTTAAAAAAATTCTACTATTTTGTCAAAAATTATAATAAATTATAATATAGATATTATATGTATTATAAAAATGAATAAAAATTATATATTATTATATAATTATCAAAAAATTTGAAAATAATAAAAATATCAAAAATTGTTTACAATTAAAACTTGCTAAGTAATTAATTGAAATCAAATGTTAAAATCAAATTTTTGCTTGAAACACATAAATTGTTATTTATTTTATAGTTTCTTATATATACATTTATTATATATAGTTACTTTTATAATATTTATAAAAGATTTTTTATTTTATGTCGATTGCATTTAAAATTTTAAACAATAATATATTATAAGAACTAATAAATTTTGATTTTCGAAATTTTAAAAATTTTCTTTGGCTTGGAAAATATTACATTCCTATTTTTATGTTTCATTTTTTTTCTATTTAAACTATTGTATTATAAAATCCAATTTTAATAAATCAACAATCTAGATTCAAATTATCACAAATTATTTTTAAAAGTTACAATTTAATAATAATATTAGTTGTTGTTAAACTATTACATAAATTATTTATATATTTTTCGAGAGTTTCGAAGAAGAATTACAAAAATAGCAAAAGTCTCTTTGAATTTCGAAGTTCTTATTGTTAAATTTAAGATAGAGAAAGCTGAAGCATAGAGACAAATAGTTTCATGCATTTTCAAATAATTCTACGTGCCCACCTTGACCTCCACCCGGAAACTTTGATTGGTTTTGTTGACAGTAGATAAAGAGGTGTGATAACCATGATACCATTCAAGATGGCGGTGCGCGGCCGAAAGAACCTCGCAAGTCATTGTAACGTTGCCTCCTATCAGAACCGTGGTATTTTTCGGTGGCCTGGTCAGTATCGGACGGTGTTTCACGCTCTCTACAGGAAAAATAGACCCAACCACCATTTTTACCAAGCTCGAGTATCAAAGAAACAAAGAGAAGTCCTTTGAGATCAAATTTCTTTTTTTACTTATAATTTTCAATATCATTCAAATAATTTGACATTTTTATTTAAATAATTTTTTTGCTAATAAAATTATAAGTGTAATTTGTCAATATTCCTATTAGTTTTTTCCTTATCGATCTTAATGAGTTTGAAATATATTATAAAGTGCTTTATTTTGATTAATTTTTTTCTTTAGATATAATAGTCGGCTTTTATTTTCGAGTTAGCAAAAATTTGATACTATATTATACAACTACCACTTAAATGCATATATATGTAAGATTGAGCTTCTCGAAACTTCTTTGGATTTTAATGGGATCTTTTTTAAAATTTTTTTTTTTGATATATATATTGTGTTTATTTCTTTTCTTCTTTGGTAATTAAGAAATATCATATTCAAATTTAACACTATCGAAAACACTTTCGAATATCGATTTTCATGCAAAAAGTATAACATGATTATATTGCATTTACAATTACATTACATATATTTATACAATAATTATAATTGCCACTTTCTTTTTTATTCATTTTTCATTCTTTTTTATTTCATTTTTGTTTTGAAGAAAAAAAAGTGAAAATTTCGATAATTTTTAACAATTTTTAGGCAAATAAATATGATTATAACGAATTGAACAAGCCGTCATGCAGTTTCATAAGAATAGATGAATATATCTCTTTTTTCTTATCTCTCCTCATCTATCAATTTTATAGTATTTAGACGAGAAAATTATCTTTTGTTATTGTAATTTTAGTTGCCCAAGATTTGTTTTATATTTTATTATCATTATTATCCGAAGGATTCATGGAATACACGTTTACTATGGATACATGCTAAATATGATGATATTTGTCCACTCATTATATCGTGTTTGTACAAACAATTGAGAATGATGTCCAATATTGTTACTTGTACTGTCCTGAATATATATGTATAGGCAAAATTCAATATAATAAGATTTTTTTAGAATAACTCGAAAACAAAAGCCAATTACCTGTTATATATGAAGAAAAATTATTCAAAATTATGTTTTTCAAAAAAATATTTCAAGATCATTAAAACTGAAAAGGAAGAAGTTAATCGATAAATATATTTAGGTTTATTTATAATTTTAGATTTCATTTTTGATTAATATGAAGTAATGTAGAAGAAAATTTTATCATTTTTGCAATTTCTGAATTGTATAAATTGTATAAATGCATGTATTTCTGAATTGAAAAAGATTAAAATTCAAACAAATTTTTATGTTTTTTTTTGCATTTTTTGATTTTGTAAAAATTTTTCTTAGATTTTTTCGAAATTTCTTTTAAATTTCATTAAAATTTCTGACAGATCTTCTCTTTTTCATTCTAATATTATTCTTTTTTTTAATCTCTTATTGCATCTTTACACGTGTTAAACTAAAATATAAATTTGATCCCGAAAGATTCAAAACTTATAAATAAAAAATATATCCATGAAATATATCCATGAATATCCATGAATTAGGACATCAAAGAAAAGAAAAGAAAGAATACAATAATATGACACGGTTAAAACATTAAAAAAACAAAATAAAAGAATCCATTGGGCAGCACCTGAAATAGAATTCCAAAAGAAACGAATATTTCCTTCACCATCGTTAGTCACTACCGATATCATTATATCGCAAGCAGCTTACGTATCACCAGAATCCCGTACGTATCAGTAGAATAGTTTATAACATTTTATAAACTAATTTTATTAGAGACTATTTCAATAATCCATCGAGAAGACAGGGGAACCTCCACCATCTTAACAAGTCGATGTTGTACCTGAAGAAGAATTCCGGTCGGTGAATTCTCTTGGTCACCAGGATATTCGACTACTTTCAGCCATTGTATATAAGGTTCGAGATCAGAGACGATCGGACACTTGAACGTCACCGTGCTGTTCACCACCGCGGTTACGTTCTTCGGGAAATCCACGTTGATGTATGGTTTATGAGGAAAACGCTCTATAGATTTATGAAAATTCACCACGATTTAATTTTGCGATTTATTTTCATTGTAATCGAAGATGGCATTTCTAATGTTTCTAGTGAAAAAATTTTAGGGACTTTTGTAGATTAGGTTTTAAAGATAAAAAATTATTATAAAAATTCAGAAAGATTTAATTTTGTGATTTTTTTTTTTATGAAATCGAAGATGGATGATAATTTAGAAATTTTTTTGCAAAACAAGAAAATTTTATGGAATTTGAAAAATTAAATTTAAGACAATCCCTGTCTATCTTGAGATCGATGGAAACCAGTCATGATTAGTTTTGTTTCTAGTGAAAAATTTTGAAATTTCTCAGGATAGATTTTATTTCTCAGGATACAAGTAAAAAATTATGGAAGTTCAGATTAAACTTTAGTTAGTTAAGATTTAACTTTATGATTTTTTTTTATGAAATCGAAATTAGCTGGAGATTTAGAAATTTCTATACAAAACAAGAAAATTTTATGAAATTTGGAAAATTAAATTTTGAACGATTTGATGTCGCGATTTCTCTTTGTATCGTGAAATTGAATTGACTTGAAAACTTGATAATGTTTCCAGTGAAAATACGTGAGTAATATATAACAATATGATCACTGAAAAATTTTAGAATAATTAGAATTTGCAATGAAAAATGGTTGGCAAATTATAATATAAAAATGGATGAAATTAAAAATATTTACTACGTTTTTTTATATTATATAATTATAAAGAAAATTTTTAACGGATAATATTTTAACAATGAAATAAATAACAGATTATATATAAAAAATTTAATGGAATTTATTATTTTCTTCGTGAAATTTTTAACAAAATTAATTTCGTAAAATTATTTTCGTAACATTTAAAAAATATTCTTTTATTCTTTTTTATAAATTAAATTTTAAATTTTTTTATACAATATTAAAATAATAATAATAACGATATTAAAAATTTTAATACAAAATTAAATAATAATAATAACAATAAACATAAATTTTTAATTATCCATATTTCATATATTTATAACCTGATACCTTAAATCTTAAAAATCTATTAAAAATTTCATAAACCCATTATATTATTGTTTATTCTAAAGTTTAAATTTAAAATTATCCTAAACTTGTCACAAACAAATTTCGCTATATTTCAGATAAAACACGCATTTTCACTTTTCCATTATATTTCATTCTCCTATTTTTTAAATAAAAAAACAAAAATAGACACTTACCGACAATTTCAACTTTGGATGTGCGATTGATGCATCCCAGATAATTGCACACCACGCAAGTATAATTTCCACTGTCTTCAGGTACTAGGTCCTCTAATCTGAATGTCCACTTGGACATGACCACTGTGCCCAGTGTCCTCTTCGGTTCCTCGTTATTTTTGTACCATGTTATATTCGGCCTTGGATTTCCAAAGCTGGGGCATCGTAGTCGTAACATGTTTCCAGCTGGTTTCACAACCACGTTCGGCATTTCTACGCTTTTATTGAAGGATGGGGCACGTTCCGGGGCGGTGTTATTATGCTCACCGGCTGTTTCATTCTCGCATTTCTCATTGTCCAAATCGACTTCCACATTTTCGCTGTCGAGATGTAACGATCGTGTTTCTGGCAAGTCTGAAATCAAATATAATTCCAGCTTTTTTATTTACTTTATCAAAATTTTAATTAAATTGTTTATTTGAATTTGAAATATAAAATATAAATATATATAAATTATATATATAAATATAAAATTATGAAATAATTATATAATTAATTATAAATATAAAACTAGTAAGTAAAAACAAATTATAAAATTTATATTTTTTTTATTTAGTATAAAGTCAATTGTTTTAATTTTTTATTTATTTAAGATGAATTATTCGCAAAAATTTAATAAAATTTATTTTATTTAAGAGAGAATGATTGTTGATTAATTTATAAGAGATATTTATATTTTGTTTTATCTTTTTATAAATCAAATTTAAATAATTTAAAATTAATTTATTAATAAAGAAAAAAGTGAAAAAAATTGAAGAATAGAAAGAATAATAAATATTAAATTTTACATATGCATTTTTATATCATTCATATATTTTTGTAGTTAATCCATGATGTATTTTTCTTTATTTTGATCTACAAAACAATATCAATATTTCAACATTCCAAAAATAAATTTATTTAAATTTTTTTATTTAATATTAATTATTAAAATTCTTTATAATCTTTCCATTTCTTAAAAACTATATATCTAAATAGATTTCCAAAATAATTTAAAAATAATTGTTCATAATGCAATACAATATCCTATAAATTTCATAATTCTATGAACAAATTTTTTTAATCATCGAACAAAAATTTCTCGAATTTATTTAAGAAAAATCAATCTAAATAATTAAAAATAATAATTTTTTTTTTAATTTGATTAAAGAGATTTAAAAATCTTTAATTTAAGAATACAAAAATTACTAACTTCTCGCTTCAATTTCTAATTCATTCGTTTCCTCCTCAGTCCTATGGCCACCAAGACTTTCAGTTTCGTGTTGATATCCGTCGTTCTGCAACGATTCGATTCGTATCGTCACGTTTCTCCATTCGGTTGTTGCGTTCAATTTGATCAGGCAATTGTATGAATCGGCATCCTCGGCCTCGATGTACTTGAACCTCAACGACTGCTTCATCAGTCGTACTCTCGGTGAGGATGGTTTAAATATTTCGTCGCCTTTGTACCAGATCGTTTCCGTGTTCGAGGTCAACGAGCATCGCAAGATCAGTTTCTCACCGACCGATACCATCACCACGTCGGGATGATTTACATCTGTAATGAAAATTGAAATTAAAATTTATATTATAAATTAAAATTTATATTAAATCTAATGTGGATTTGAGATTAATTGTATATATTTGACATTTAGTTATTTTGGATAGTAAAATTTTATTTATTTCTTTTTCATTTAATTAATTTGTAGAATATGAAAAAAGATGAAAATTAATTTTTTTTTTTTTGATGGAAAATCAGGAATATGTGGACATTATAAAATTTTTTAAGTATTGAATCGATGTAGTTAATCATTTTTTGTAAAAACTATTAAGTTATGCTAAAAAAATTTTATTATTAGAAGATATTCTAATTTGAATTTTGTAAAATTTATTAAATAAAAGAGAAATAAAACAATATCAGTGATATTATTTTGTTCATGATTTCCTTTTCTTTCATATGATAAATTTTGAAAATTAAAATGATGATTTCGAGAATCATAATGATAAATTATATACAAAATATTTTGAGAAACTCGTTAAAAATGAAACAATTTCTCAATTTTGTTTCTATATAAAATGCTATATAAAATTTTTCAATTCTTGGATATCTTACTATGATTTTCAGCTTTCCAAATATATCTTGAATTAATGATTTTTTGGCACAAATGACTTGATGCTTTATTATACGATTCACGTATTTAAGAAGCTATGATTTAAAAAAAAATTAATCTTTATATATCTTTGTCATCAAATGCTCATTTAGTTTTTGTCTAAAATATTTTTTAATATTTCCTGAATTCTCAAGATATTCAGATAAATTTAGATATTCAGATTTAAATGAGACATTTTGCAGAATTTACATTCTAAATATAATAATGCTTCAATAATTGTTATAAATTCAATTATTATTATATCATAATAATAATCATACGAAATAATTTATCGATAAATTGCAAATTTTTAAATCATAGACATTTAAAACCATATAACCAATATTAATTACTATATTTTATTTTAATAATATTTTACATTCTGGACAAAATATCGCAAAATTGCTCTGCATGCCCACCATTTGATTCATTTCTACATATTTTGCAATTTTGAGATAGTTGATCAAAAACATAAAAAATTATTGAAGTATACCCATATACGATAATTAAATATTATCGATGAGATAAAGATAAGAATTTTCTTCGTCATTAAAAGTCGTAAACCTTAAAAAAAGAATTTTACCACTATATTTCGTTCCGCTATATCGATCACCAAGTTCACGGAAGATAAACCAACCAAGCCTTCGTTACTTGGCAACCTAACCGCGCCTTCTAAATCGATTCTTCCGCGAATCCGTGGATGCAATAAACACCGTTAAAATTGCACAAGACAATTATGGCGCGCGATTCGATATCCTCATCGTTGCACAAAAACCATTTTAAAAAGGAGAAAATAGCTCGAATCTATCATCAATCTCATCCTTTCTCGATCATCAATTCGCGATCGTGGTGATTTCCAGTTGTCACACAACCATTGGTTAATGAATATTAGCTACAATTTCAGATACTTATTTTCTCCATTGTCCGATAATGGAATATTACGTTTCATTTTTAACGTTGTCGGTCAATTTTCTTTATAATCGAAGTTTTGAATTTTTTTTTTTACGATTGTAGTTCACGAGGATGAAATAATTGCTGGTATTATCGTGTGGTTATCGGATCCCTTCGTTTGTTCTTGATTAATTAATCCTTCGAGTATGATGAAATGAATTTCTTCATTTTTTTCTTTTCTTTCTTTTTTTCTTTTTTTTTTTTTTTTTTTTTTTTT